TCTATATTAAAATGGTATACATTATTTTATTAATATGAAAGCGAGCCCAATATGAGGCTATGTTGCAAGTGCTTCATATTACACATTCAAAAGACAACGGAATTTTACTTATGTATACATATACAATTATAGCTTACCACAACGTCATATGCTGCTTTTTTAGAAAATTCATTCGCCCGAATAATAATTTTCGATTCATTTGAGGCTACATTCTTCATTTGGTCCTCAGTACCATTAGAGTCAGCCATATTTAAATCGGTATCACTATCTGCTTTAGAAGACATAATTAAGTTTTTTATTCCCAGGATTCCTTTGCTAGCAAGGCGCGCACGTTCAGAGCAAGCAAAAAATAACTGTAAGTGTCATAGCTTAAAATCAAAAAGGGTGGCAGCACGACAAGTTTCACTTGCTATTTGCCAGGTGGCAGCTTTGGTTATGAAACTAACCGATTAACTAAAATTAGACCGATTTTTTCGTTTATACAGTTTATTATTAATATTTACCTATCATAACATATAAAATTACTTGGGTATACTTTATAAATTATTGACTTTTGCAATGTAGCTTTTATAAACTGGCTAAAATAGTGACCGGTCGCTATTTATCGATACCTTTATTGTAAAATAGTTGTGACTATCGTGATATTTTAAGACTCACATACGGGTGACCTGTTATTGCTCATCCCTACAGCGGCCATTTGTTTACGGCACGTGTTGGTGGCAAAAACTGTTTTCAAAAAATATCGCAAAAATGGACAGCGAGGCAGATGACTATGAGGCCACTGGCTCTGAGCAGGAGTACGATGAGGATGAGCGTGAAATATTGAATGATCTGCGTAAAGAGCGAAAGAAGAAGGCAGACCAGCTCAAAAATCAAAAACTGGATGTTCTGTCGTTCAGTGATAGCGACGATCATGAAGAGGATGAGGATGTTGTGGGTAACTTAATGCGTGACAGCGACATTGAAGGGGCCGAGGATGACGATGGCGATCTGCCGGATACCATGGACTGGGGCACCAATAAAAAAGCCTACTACAATACAGATTTCGTGGATCCCGATTATAGCAGTTACACGGCCCAAGAGGAGGACATGGCCAAGGCCGAGGAGGAGGAGGCCAAAAAGATACAGCTGCGTCTGGCCAAGCAATTAACGGAGGCCGATTTCAAGCTAGATGACGTGGCGGTGCCGGTCGACGATAAGGATAAAGACGTGACCGTAAAGAGCATCACAGTCACGAGAGATCTGAAAGGCCTAACGGAACGCGAGCGTCTGCAACTGCTGCAAAAGGACTCGCCTGAATTTGTTGGCCTCACACAAGACTTTCAGCAACATCTGAGCGAAGTGCAACAGCTGACGGCGCCAGTTCTGAACTATGTGCGCAATCATCAGGTGCCCATGGTGCCGGCCCTGCAGTTCGCTCTGCTGTATCAGAATGTTCTGCTCACGCATTGCTCAAACGTCTCGTTCTACCTCCTGCTGAAGGCCAAACGCAGCAGCATCAAATACCATCCGGTGGTCAAGCGGCTGGTGCAGCTCAAGCAGCTACGCGAACAGCTAGCGCCACGCTACGAAGAGTACATACGACCACAGCTAGAGGCGCTGCTGGAGCGCATACAGGACGGCGATGCGTTCACCGTGCTGGATCCAACACAGCGCAAGGCCAAACTGCAAACAGTCAGCAAATACAATGGCACAGGGACAACAAATGCCAGAATTGACAAGGAGCCGCATGATGAGGACAATACTGATGGTGAAAGTGATAATGAGGATGCTGATGCTATTGCCGTTGGTGATGATGATGAAGATATGGATGAGGAGGAGCGGATGCTGGAGAAGGCGCTTCAGGAAGAGAACGAGCGGCGTGGCATTACCTATCAAATGGCCAAGAACAAGGGCCTGACGCCGGCTCGCAAAAAGGAGCTGCGAAATCCTCGCGTCAAGCATCGCGGCAAATACCGCAAGGCGCTCATCCGCCGCAAGGGAGCAGTGCGCAGCGTACGCAAGGAAACCAAAAGATACGGCGGCGAAATATCGGGCATCAAGGCCACCGTCACCAAGAGTATCAAATTCAAAACGTAATCCACAGTTCATCCTTAGGCTATGTAAGACAAAAATATATTCAAATCTTGTTCCACCATTCGAATGCTCAAATGCTTTTGTTGTTATGTTCATCAAATTTATTCAATTAGTTCACATAAGGTCGCCAGTTGCATTACATAACACGGGTGTACAGTGTACATATATATAGACATGTATATATATCCTTTCAATTATATATAGACATCTATATACATTTTTGTATTTAAGTCTAGTTGCCAAATCGCAAATTTGTTTTTCCTTTCTCCATTGTTAACAAAAAATATGTAAAGGGGAACAGCATGCACCGCAGCTGCTTCATGTGTTTTGCTTCAGGTTTTTCGTTTTCATCTTTGTTTTGGGGGATTCTCAAGAATCGAGTTATAGCTAACTTATCATACTATAAAAAACATCAATTGCTTATGTTAAGCTTAAATATTAAAGAGCTTGCGAAAGTCATCGTTGCTCTTTGGGGCAATTGGCACAGCCGTCAATGGCTGCTCCGCCGTCTCCTTGTCACTGTCATTCCCATTCCCATTATCATTGCCATTGGCATTGGCATTGGCATTGTTGCCATTGGCCGYATCGTTTGTACTGCTAACAGCTGCATCGTCGTCCAGTTCGAGCTTCTTGCGACGCTTCACCTCATTGAGCACGAGGCGTGTGGGTATCAGCGACGTTTGAATGCGACGTTTCTCTGGCTTCCTTTTATCACCGGCAGCTCCGGCTGCCGCCACGCCCGAGGATGTCGACGGCCCTGTGGGTAGCTTCGGTGGCGGATTGGAAATGGCAACCTCAATCTAAATCCAAATTCAAATTAGCATATGTTCTTTAAGCTGAATAAATGTTGGGTCTTACGTTTTGGCCGCCAATCTCTATGCCATTGCCGCCAATGACCGCGTTTTGCGCATCCTGCTCCTTCTCAAACTCAACGTAGGCAATGCCCTTGAATTTTTGATTGCTACTAGAATAGAACATATTTAACATAATTGAGTTTGTAAATCTTGACTGCACTTACGGTCTGTAGACCAAGCGCACATCCTTGATCACGCCAAAGCTTTCGAATGCATTGATTAAATCCTCTTTGGTACATTGGGGATATAGATTTTTAACAAATATCTTATTCATTTCCATATTTGCTGTAAGAGAAAGATGGAGAGAGAGACAGGGTATGATAGATAGAGAGAGAGAGAGAGGGAGCATTTTGTGGTTTTATAAAACTTACGTGAATACTTAAAATTAGATTCTTTTGCCTCTTTTGCTGGGGAGCTTGATGGCATTGTTTTCTTGGCAGCCGGCAACGGCTTCTTGGACGATTTGATGGCCGGCTTCCTTTCCGGCTTTTGGTATGCTGGCATTCGCCTAGTATTTGGCTGTTGCCAGGCTGGTTGACGCCTGTAGCTCTCCGCTTGTTCCATGTACGCCTCGCAATATTTCTGGCACTCGGCTATCGACTCATAGTTGCCAAAGCAGCGTTCGTGGCGACGATAGAATTCCATTATGATCTGCACTTCTGGTGTCATAGAGAGCGCCTCCAAGGCCTGCCTGAACACAATGGACACTTTCTCCCTCTTATTGTATTCGATCTCCATTTGGGCATAGGCGACCCACAGATGGGCCTTGACGCTGTTGCCCGGATAGCCTATGATCACATCGATTGTAATGTTAATTTGATATCAATAGATATTTCATGCAACTCACTGAAAATCTCACACCAGATGGAGGCTCCCTTATCGGGCGATTTTAGCTTCGCGTACTCCACCTGAGCCCAAAGCTGCAGCACCTCGAAGCAGGTGTCTGCCAGGTCGCCGTAGATCTCCGATAAACGATCCCACACCTCGCGGAAGGCGTTGCGCAACTGCTTGACCTGTGGAGCATTAGATTTAATACACATTTCACAAAAATATATGCTGTTCTATCGATAGGCACCTCCAGCTCGTTGTTGACATCGGTGTGACGCACGCGGTAGGCCAAGTAGTCTAGCTGCAGCTCCACATTCATTTCCATATGCGGCTCGAGCCGTTGCAGCTGGCGCTTAATCTCCGACTCCACTTGCTCCGTATTGAGTATGCTTTGCTCCAGTAGCTCCAAATACTTGTGATTGATCGCAATTGTTGGGTTTATCTGCAGCACACGGTTGATCAGCTCCATGGGCTTGCACTTCAAATAGCCATCGCATATGGCCGTGTGGTACATGTCTTCCGATTCCGGCTCTTTGGGCTTCTCCATATAGGCTATATAGTCCAGCCACAAGCGACTGTCATTGGGATATTTGGCGACGCAACGCTCGTATATCAATTTGGTCAGGGTGCATTTCATATTTGTGCTGAGCGACAAAGTTTCGGCCCTCAGCAGGTAGCTCTCCTGCAGCCAGGACGAGTTCTCTGCATTGCTTTTCAACTTCTGTTTGAACTCGTCAATTAGCTCTGCAATCGGCTCCATTTGATCCTGGTCGTAGTGCCAGGCCACGCAATTGGCGCTCAATGTTTGCTCAATCATTTCAATGCCGTCTTTTTCATCCAAAGATGCGACAAATCGGCGTGCTTCCTCAACGAAATCAATGCGTTCTAAGCCATAATCGGCCAGAATCTTTGCCCACATCTGCAGATGATCTGCGAGTGACTGTTCCATCAAGCTTTTGACAACAAATTCAGCCAGTTGGTCATCTGATTCATATGGAGTAGAGTAGGAGGTTGTTTATTTAACCTACTACCGCACATTTTCGACTTACCATAGAAGCTGGCCAAGGCCAGACTGCATTTTGTCTTAAAGACCTCCCACTCTGCCGGCGTCTGAGTGACCACCTTCAGAGCCTTGAGATAACGAAGCCATATATGCGACGGCACAGTTGAAAATTTCTGGAACTCATTGATGGCCACTTCAATCTTTTCAAAGATATTCAATTTGCTGCAGGCGAGAGCAGAGTTTAGCTGGAATCTAACAATGATATGATGCAAATGCGAACTTACAAGGCCGTGGTACATAATTCCACATAATGCCTATATTTCTTTTTGGTTATGCTCAATATGGCAGAAAACTCTTCGTCCAGCATTTGGTCATCGTGCGAATCGCTGGTGCCGACCAGTGAACTCAGGACACTCACTTCGCTCTCAGAATCGGAGGGCGCTTCACAGTCACTATTATCTCCGACGCTCGAATCTGAGCTTATTTCGATTGGCTGCTCGTTTACGATATTGTCGCCAGCTGAAGCTTTCGGCTGAAAATGAATCAAACAATTAATTTCAATATTGGCACTTACAATCTTCCGTAGCATTGACTTACATCAGCTCCACTGGACATTTTTTATTTAATATATTGTCTATTTGTACTGATCAAAATGAAGAAACTATTTAATTGTTTTAGTTTTAATGCAAAACTAAATTTTTGTTGTACTGAACGTGACGCCAGCTAGAGATGTGCTGCAAGCTGTCACCGACATTTAGTAAATGAGCTTTTATCGATGTTTTAAGCTGTTACAACTTCGAAAGCCAGTTTAAAAATGCAATACATTGGCATCAATCGCACTATTCAAAATGTCGAGAAATCAATATTCACATCGATATACAACTGATGAGTAGCAAATTTGTAGATTTGTAGTATTAGCATTAGCGTTTTGAAGTTGTCTTTAAATTATGGCTGGTTGACAGCACTGGTAAGATCGTGCGCAAATATCGGTTATCGATGAGTATTCTGTCTGCAGCCGTGACTTTTGCGCCTATGCTTCCCGCCAAAAATACATTTGCATTCGGCGTGCGACGGCAATTGCGCTTGCGAATCGTCTTCTTGTTATTCATTGTTAAAATATTGTTTGAAAATGGCACACGACGCGGAGCAGTACATAAAAGATATACAGCGCGAGTATGTGGACTTTCTGGACGACGAAGAGGATCAGGGCATCTATGCCGGTCATGTTAAGGACATGATTGCGGAGAAGAGCAAACGTCTGATCGTAAATATCAACGATCTAAAGCGCAAAAACCAACAGCGCGCATTGGGCCTGCTGAACAACGCCTCCGACGAGCAGCTGGCATTCGGGCGGGCACTCAAGGAATATGTCTCGACTGTGGATCCCAGCTATGCCAAACAGCACGAAGACTTCTTCGTGGGCTTCGAGGGCTGCTTTGGCAATCGTCATGTTACGCCTCGCTCCCTCACGTCCATCTACTTGGGCAATCTGGTTTGCGTGGAGGGCATTGTCACGAAGGTCTCCCTCATACATCCGAAGGTGGTGCGCAGCGTTCACTATTGTCCAGTCACACGGAAAGTGCTCGAGCGTAAATATACAGATCTCACCTCGTTCGAGGCGGTGCCCTCGAGCGCCGTCTATCCCACTAAGGACGACGATGGCAATCTGCTGGAAACCGAGTTCGGGCTGTCTGTCTATAAGGATCATCAGACACTAACCATACAGGAGATGCCGGAGAAGGCGCCAGCCGGCCAATTGCCACGCTCTGTAGACATCGTTTGTGATGATGATTTGGTGGACCGCTGCAAGCCCGGCGATCGCGTCCAGATCGTTGGCAACTACCGCTGCCTGCCGGGCAAACATGGCGGCTACACCTCGGGCACCTTCCGCACCGTCCTGCTGGCCAACAACATATCGCTGTTGAGCAAGGAGAGCAATCTGGACATCTCCCGTGAGGACATTATGCTCTGCAAGAAGCTGGCCAAGAACAATGACATCTTCGAGCTGCTCAGCAAGAGTCTGGCGCCCTCCATCCACGGCCACACGTTCGTCAAGCAGGCCATTCTCTGCCTGCTGCTCGGCGGCGTCGAGAAGGTGCTGCCCAATGGCACACGACTGCGTGGCGACATCAATATCCTGCTCATTGGTGATCCCTCGGTGGCGAAGTCGCAGCTGTTGCGCTATGTGCTCAACACGGCACCGCGTGCCATTCCAACCACTGGACGCGGCTCCAGCGGCGTCGGCTTGACGGCAGCGGTGACCACGGATCAGGAGACGGGCGAGAGACGCTTGGAGGCGGGCGCTATGGTGCTCGCTGATCGCGGCGTCGTCTGCATCGATGAATTCGACAAGATGAGCGACATCGATCGCACAGCCATACACGAGGTGATGGAACAGGGTCGCGTCACCATCTCAAAAGCCGGAATCCATGCCTCGCTCAATGCGCGCTGCTCGGTGCTGGCCGCCGCCAATCCGGTCTACGGGCGTGTAAGTATACCTCGAGAGGATAACCATATGTGGTCACATTTCATCAATCCGAATCCTCTTGCAGTATGATCAGTATAAAACGCCCATGGAGAACATTGGATTGCAGGACTCGTTGCTGTCCCGTTTCGATCTGCTGTTCGTCATGCTGGATGTCATTGACAGCGATGTGGATCAAATGATATCCGATCATGTGGTCCGCATGCATCGCTATCGCAACCCGAAGGAGGCGGACGGCGAGCCCCTCACCATGGGCAGCTCCTATGCCGATTCTCTGGCCTTTGTCTCCAACACAGAGCAGGTAAGAGCAGCATCCTCCACTCTCATAGTCGAACGTCAGTTCACATGATCGCATCTTGCAGAAGAAGGAAACGGAGCTGTATGAGAAATATGATGCACTGTTGCACGGCAAGTCAAGGAAGCGCCATGAGAAGATCCTGTCCGTGGAGTTTATGCGCAAATACATTCACATTGCCAAGTGCATGAAACCCAAGCTGACGGAGCAGGCGTGCGAGGCGATTGCCAATGAGTACTCGCGCCTGCGCTCCCAGGAGGCAGTCGAGTCGGATGTGGCACGCACACAGCCGATCACGGCGCGTACGCTGGAGACATTGATTCGTTTGTCCACGGCGCATGCGCGCGCTCGCATGTCCAAGACGGTGACCATGGAGGATGCCCATGCGGCCATTGAGCTGGTGCAGTACGCCTACTTCAAGAAGGTCCTGGAGAAGGAGCGCGCCAACAAGCGACGTCGCAATGGCAACGGCTCCTCCGACGAGGAGGAGGAGGAGGAGGAGAATACAACTACTGCTACTGCAAATACAGCAACACCCTCGCGTCGTCCCAAACGCACACGCACCGAACCCGATCCAACCATCGACAGCGACGAGGAGATTGAGCCGCCCCAGCCGGATGCGGGCGATTTGACGCGTCGCGAGACCCGTCGCTCCTTGCCACTGCGTCAGCACAGCGAAACCACTGGCACAGAGTCGGCTAGCCAGGCCAGCTCGGAGCCCACAACAGCCACGCCCGCCAGCATCAGTGATGCACGGCTTGGCGTCTTCAAGAACAGCCTGCAGCGTCTGTTCCGCGAGGCACGCGAGCAGAGCCTCACGCTGCAGCGCATCACGACGGCGATCAATGAGAACAACGCGGAGCCCTTCACGGCCGGCGAGGTGGATGCGGCCATGCACCGGATGACCGAGGACAACCAGATAATGCTCGCTGACGACATTGTCTTTCTTATCTAACCATCAGCCATATCTGTATATGTTCATATATATCGAATGGATTCACATATTCAACAATCATCATTCATCTCGTTCTCCTTTGCAGCACGTACAAATTCTCTATGTCTAGCGATTAAGTCTTTTATATCATTATTTTTTTTGTTTGTTCATTCCATATTCAAAATAAAAAGTTGGCGCTCTTGTAAACAAATTCATTTAAATCAATTGCCTTAACTATTTTTTCCATTTTGCTGATTGCTCGTCTGATAAGATTTGACTATCTCTGCAGTTGGGCACGTGGAATGCTAACTGTCTGCTGGCGCTATATTGACTTCATAGCAGTCAGATTCCAATTAGAGCTAATGAGTAGACTGACGCTATGCTGCAATATTCCAATCAGAACTTAATGCTGCTTCGTATTGGAATCTCTGCTGGTAGCTCTGAAATCTAATGAAATGTTATGCGAATTTAAAAACGGAAATGTTAAAACTCATATTTAATAATACTTCACAAACATCGATATATGTATATATATACACATGTACATACATGTATACATATATATGTATATAGATATTGGACATTAATATCAATCATTTATTTTACATTAATAGGAATAATTTGCGAACGTGAGATAATGTGACTAAATCGTTGCAAATCGTTGCTTTGCTAACGGCAATTGCAACATACATATATGTATATATGTATATATATATACAATTTGAAAGTTTCTCTTCGTATTCTTTTCGGCTTGGAAAACATTTGCGGATATGATTAGTTTGTACACAAATTCAATTTACTTAGGCGCTAAATTGGGCTTTAAGGAAAGGAACAAACAACAGGCGCACATATACATATATCGAGATATTCAAATATATATACATACATATCTATAGCTTTTACAGTGGTGACTCCATCTCTCGTCGGAGAGTGTGTTGTGTCTTGTTTATCATTTAACAATTTATAGGCTTAATTTAAACACATAAACATATTTAGAAAATATATAAGGTAGGGGAGTAGAGGGGAATTTGTAGGCGGATGTGGATGTAGATGTGGGAGGGAACTTAGCTAATGCCCTGCACAAACGATCAAAGATTCACAACGTTCCTCAGATCGGATGGCAGCAACTCTTTCATGCATTCTATCTGCGCCCGAATCTGCCGCTGCGCGGTGTTGGCATTGCCCTCGAGCTGCGCCTTGTCGCTGTAGAGATTCAGTTTCTGTTTTAACTTGAGTATCATGTCGATTATTTCCACCTCCTGCTTGTCGTGCGCCCAGTGCTCCAGATTCGCCTCCGATAGCGCCTGCAGCTGCAGATCCTGCAGTGTGAGCTGCAGCTCTCGGTGCCGCGACTCGTACCAGCCACGGAAATTGGGCGACCGGACGAAGCGCCGATAGAGGCCCTTCCAGTCGCCCTTCAGCGTGGAGGTCAACTGCGGTCCGGCTGCCTCGAGCGTGGCCAGAAAATCGTCCAGCTTGAAGGAGCTGGCATTGGGCGCCGACTTGAACGGACTGATGTCCTTCTGCAGCGGCATCAGCGAGGCCATATAGCGCTCCAGCGGTATCATAAAGCTCTGGGTCAGCTCCAGCAGATGCCGCCGAATCAGCGCCGTCTGCACATGCTCCGGCCGCTTGGTCTTGATGCCCAGCAGCACCTTCTTGATCAGCGTCTTGTCCTTCTTCAAGTACGGCTTGTACTTGGTGTGCAGTCCAGCAGTCGAGCTGTCCCCAGCAGCCGCCAGGCTGCCATTCAGGATGTTGTGATTGGTGCCGCTGGGCTGGGCGGGCTTGGCGCTCGCACTGGTCGCGTTGCGCGTGTTCTTGTGCAGCTCCTGTTGCATGTTCTTCTGCAAGCAAACAGAGAGGTTAGAGAGCGGGCTGCTAGAGAGTGGGGGATGCAACTGACCTGATTATCCACCAGGCGCAGCATGTGCGGCCAATCCTTGAACAGCTTGACAAAGAACGGATTAGTCACACCCAGTATTACGGCTGGTATGGGCCGATTGTTGCACTCTTGGGTGAACTCCTTGAACTCGCTGTCGTGTATGGTGAAGTAGGGCCGTGCCTCGGCACAGTATTCCAGCGGGGCTATCAACGCAACCAGAGCCTGCACCATGTGTGAGCAGTCGGCGGGCGAGGTGCCTACCACCACAATTGGCTCCGATGTGATGACCAGCTCCCACAGCGTATACAAATGGTCGATGACATAGCTAAGGCTGTGGAACAGCTCCAGTTCGTTGACGGACGCCAGCACCTTGACGGATGTGGGCAGCTGTTCCGGCTGCTCATCGATCGATGGCGGCGCCAATGCTGCTGCTGCTGCTGCAGCCGCCGCTAACTTGCGACTGCTGCTGCTGCTTGCCTTGGGTATGCATATCTGGTAATTATACTCGAGCAGGGGCAACTTCAGCGTCTGCCCGACCATCAGTGCTGGCCACTGTCGGTTGATTTGACTGCAGGCGCGATGCAACAGCTCGTTGCCCTCCTCGAAGTACTTGGGCGCCAGCTGGGCGAGCACGTCGTAGTAGAGATTGAAGAATGGCAGTCGCGTTATTATGATCAGACTCTTTTGGAAATAGCCGCGCGGCAGATTGGGATCGCGCTTCTGGCGGAAGTAGACAAAGCCCCAGTAGTGGCTGCTATCGTAGCGCATGGCCGGCGCACAGTCTAAATTGTAATTTTGCAAATTAACGGGCATTTCATGTTTTGTATGCTGAAATGCTCGCAGGCGCATATGGAACTTGGTGTCGCCCATACAGCCAGAATTGGAATCTGGGAAAGCCATGTAGCAAATGTTGCTAACCTCCTGATCGCTGGGCATAAACTCGGCGGGATAAACGTATTCGAGAGCCTGGCCCAGGTTCAGGTCGAACGTAACGACACAAAAACAATGCACCCATTGTGATAGACGGATCCAATCATCTGGTAATTCGTTTGATACGCTTGTCGCATCGTCGTCCCCTGACGCCTGGTGTCCATCGTTCGCGTATTGCCGTGGCCTGGCCTCTGTGTTCATGATTGGTTCAACTTGGCGAGTGTTGTTATTGTTGTTTCACTGCATGAGGAGCTGCCTAGTTCTACTTTCACTTCCAATGTTAATGTTATTTATTTGTGCTTGGTTTGCCAGAGTTGCCATCTAGTCTTTGCGATTTATATATCGAGCAGCAGTCTGGCAGCTTTCACAACGAACGATACGAAATTAAGTATCGATAACTCATTTGATATCGAATTTGCATTTGATTTAATGACCCGCCACAAAAAAAGCCATTTTCTCCCTTTATGGTGTTCGCACGGTTATTGCGACGAAAATTCTGGTCCCTAGACAAACATACATGAGCACTCTTATACGGTTGAATCGCGTTCTGGGTATAACGACGGTTCCTTGAGCGCCGGATTTTAATATATGTTAAAATTGTATATATTTTATGTGATGCAAATGTAACAGCGCAAATCTATCACAGATATGGGTCCCAGCCATGAAATAGCATAGCCAAATTACTGGGCAAGGTTGCCTCGTTGATCAAACGCTGCACCTGCGCCTCCACATCCGAGTTTTCCAACATACCCGTCTCGCGACCTTCCAGCTTATGCTTAACAAGCAGCAGGGCACGCTGCGCCAGTAGGTTCTTGGATTCTTCATCTGTCAATTAAGTAGTTATATTGCAATTAGGTACATTTTAGTACAAGAACAAATATATCTTACTCGACTCTTGTTGCCCATTGGATAGGACGCCCCAGATAAACAGCGGATCGTAGAGCAGCACCTCCAGTATGGTGGTAAGTACAGATTTGTAACGTCTCAAAATATGCATAGTAGCCTCACAGGATTTGGTAAAAATGCCATTTGTTCCGCATATGCCCATCGGAGCGACGAAATCGCGTGTCAAACGAAATGGCACCGTTTCGGGCGTTATCTGAATCTTGCCCTGCTCAAATGCAATGCCTGTGCGAATTATACAAAATGGGAAATTTATAAATATGTGTTATAGTTTATGAATATTATCTAAAGTCGCACCGAAATCAATGTGCACCACTTCGGCCGTTTGCTCATCAATCAAAATGTTTTGTGTGTGGCGGTCGCCGAGGCCCAGGACGTAGCCCACCATCGAGGTGATGGCCACGCTGTTCGTATAGGCCAAACGCCGTTCGAACCATTCGCCCGGTATGAGAAACTTCTCTAGTAGGAAATAATGAAAAACTGGCTTCACATGCTCACAAATAGTTTTGTAGATCTTAAGACGTTCCGCTGGCGGTTTCTTCAAGCCCGCCTACAATAGTATGAAAGACAAATTCCAGTAATTTTTGCGATTGATATATATGTATACTATCTACATACCGCAGTCAGCTCGCGACATTTGCGATTGTTCCAGTCCTTGGGTCGATACTTCTTGTGCGCACCGCCAGTGCCGTCGCCAATCAGATAGGTGCCCACGGGAATCGTATTCTGGCACCACTCAATGATCCCGCTGCGGGTAGATAGCGGCGTCACTTTGTAGGTGCGCAAATGCAGCTGACGCTCAGTGAACTCCGAGTCGCTGTTCAACAGCTCATTGACAACGCCAAAGACCTGCTGCATGACCGCATCCTGGCGCAGATCGTCCTTGCCCTTGATTAGCTGGGCACGCTTCTTACCATCCGAGCAGAGGGCCTGCAACTTAATGGGCGCATTCAGGCCGCCGCAGAAGGTGAACTCCTCCGACCATTTCCTTACACCTGCAAGTGAAGAATTTTGATGAATTCTGTTCGATGAGCAAAGGATCAAACCTCTTCGCTTACTGATTATATTATATCGCAGATCGGGCTGCACGGCCAGCTCCATTGTGGGGCAGTGTATGCGATCCATTTCAAGTTGGTTGAGCTTATTCAGCATAGTGGACACCGTTTTGGGATTCGGGCGATTGTTCGGACCAGGCGATAGGTACGTATTGGCGAAGTTGATCAGAGCTGCAAGAGTGACCGAATGGGACAGAGATTAGTGAGCAGCTCTGGTGCATGTGGTTTGGTTAATTGAAGCCCTACTTGGAAACATGTTTTCGAATTGTTGGCTAGCTTTAAACGCCGTGGCATTGGCCTTGCCGCACAGCCCAATTATCTTCTTGGCAATGTCGGCACGCTGTGTATTGCTGTTAGTGCCATCCATGTGGGCATAGACAAACGGATAGAGCTTGTAAAATGTCTGCTGCGGATGATCGGCGCCGCAGCGCACCAGCAAATCGACGAGTATCTTGTGGAAGCTTGCGTTCTTGGAATTGAGGCGTCCGGCCAGTTGGCTGACGGCACAAATGAACTTGTAGCTGGGCACAGTCTTGATCGCATCTCTGATCTTGTCCAGCATCGTTTGGTTCTGGTCATTGGTGAACCAGAGTGCTATGATGCGATAAATTGCCGCACTAGAAAACCCACCGTCCAGCTCGCAATACTTGATATAATGTGAGAGAGCCGTGCACAAGTGTTCGGTCAGATTGTCGTCGATGCGCTTCAGCTCCTGTTCGTCCAGCTTGGCAAATCGATTCAAGTTGATTGCGCCAATCTGACGATCACGATCGGGTCGCCCGCCGCTGGTCACTGTTCCGGCCAGTTGGCGATTCTGCTTGATGATGTTGACGAGCGTCTGATATTCCTGCGAGTGCCGATAGTCGTGCAGGCGCTGATACTCACGATCCGCATACTTGGCCATTGCCTCGTGATTGGCCTTTAAATTCCGATTCTCGAACTTATCGAATGTATCCCAATCGAAGATGCCGGTGAATTTCTGCTTAAGCACCGACTGGCATGACTTGAAGTGCTCGAGCAGGTTAATCGACTGATTGAATTTGTGCTCCATTGCGTAGCTCAAGCTCTCGGCATTGCTGTCCAGCAGGAATTCACCATGCATCCGCAGGGCCGGCACACGCTGCGGGCAAAACTGAAAATCTGGATTCTTATTCACGTACTGCAATAGGGATTTGGCGACATGATGATTGCCACGCTTGATATTCACTTGGGCATCCTCCAGCAGCACGGAGATCTGTAAGAGCAGCCTGTGTTAGCTGGCAGGGAACACAGGGAACCCATTGGACACTTACCTTGGTGGGCGACTTGATATCGGGCATGGTGCGCAGCGTGGATATGTACTTCGTTGCCAAATTCAATTTGCCAGCGGATTTGCATTCCTGGATGCACTTCAGCATGTAGGAGTCGACGGGACTCTGATCGTAATACTGTTTGATGCGACGATCGGCCCTAGTACCAGATTGCTTGAATAGCGTTATCTGATGGGCGAGTATTTGCTCCTTGCAGCTGAAGCTGCCATAAGTCAGATTTAGCTCCGTTTGCCATTTGTTGAATATTTCGTCGACCTGCGAGGGGGCCAATTGCTGGCTGAACTGGATCTGTAAATGAGAAGCACGTTTAGTCGAATATTCACTCTCAGACAGCACACACACATACACACACACCTGATAAAAGTCCTCGGTCTGTTGGAGCGTGCACAGCCAGGTCATGTACTTGTACACCGATTGCAGGCACTCGATGCTAATGTCCTGCAGTATCTTTTGGACGCACTGATAGGCGTTGTGGATGGCCGCCAAAGTGTTCTCCTGCTCGCGCTTATTGATGCTCATCAGTGCCAGATAGTGATGTTTGTTGTACTCCTGCTCGAGATTGTTGGACCAATCGACGTGGTGAGTCCTCTCGGTCTGCTCATCCCATTGGCAGAGACGCCACAGTATCTCGTAGTTAATTGGAATGTCCTCGCACGAGCGCTGATAGAAATTGGCAAACGTCAGCATGCCGTTGTCGTTCATTATGTCCAAGCACTTGCTAGTGCTCGACTCATTCTGGTTGTCTGCTTCCAGCAAGGCCTCAGACAGGTTATTGCTTAAGCTCAAGAAGTCGACACGTGAGCTCAGAGGATTCAGAAATCCAGGTATGGCATCTAGACAACCAATCGACTTGTATGCCTATTGTAAGAGTTTTTTTTATATGATTGTATATCAATTTGAATATTAATTTTTGTCTTCGCTTACCGTCTTGGCGTACGTTTGAAAGCTGTCAGAGTGGAGAGGAGAATCGGTGGGCTTTACGGAATAGACCCAAAGCTCCAGATACATAATGCTCATGAAATATGCCTGGCAATGATTACTGGCCTTGACCACATTGCCCAAATCGATGGGAATGCTCCTGCAGACATGCATTCGAAAGAGAAGGAAATAAAAACACAGAGAGAGAGAGAGGGAGATAGGGAGAGAGATGATATGAGATATGTACTGTTCCTCACAATGCGAATTGAGCCTACCAATTGTTAACGACGCGCACGCATTCGCACATGTACAGGAATCGCTTGATTATGCGCTTGTCCTGATAGAATCCCGTGGTCTTATGTGCTGAATTTTCAAAGAAGTAATTGAGCATCTCGCATAGGCTAGTCAAGTGCACATCTCTATTGGCCATCACCAGTTTGACGAACGTCTGTAGACAGGTGCTGGCAAAGTCAACGGACTGGAATGCAAACTCATCGAATCCTGGCCAACGGCAGGCCTTAAACACAGAGCCCATAAATTGGCATAGCCAGGGCTCATAGTCCAAGTGCTCCGTGGCCTTGAGCATGGCAAGCCAATCAATTTGCGGAATGCTGACGAACGAATTCAGGAAACTCGACGTATTCAAGCCAACGTAGAAGATGCGTAAATACGGATAACTATCTGCAAATCAAGTAAAGAACATTTCAATAAATCGCTTTAAATGTTACAAATATTTCCCGTTTACCAATTAAATGCTCTGCACTCCTGCTGTTAACCACTTCGCTGGCCACTTGGATGACGGCCTTGTGTGTCTTTACATCGAAATCGAATATATGCCGCTCCAGCGCCTCCATGATGACGGCTACGAACTGTTCCATTGCAGCTGTCAGCTATAATCATAGTAATCAATCCATAAGCAAAGAGATTATAATAGATCGAATAAAGCACATGACAAGTGGCAAATGAGGCGACTCTATCTTACTACTTCGCTTAGAGCTTACGTTAATTTAGCCGATTAGTTTCTAGTTTATAGTATAAGCAATACTCTCTTAATTGTTATATTGCTGTACCGGCTGTATGGACTCGTAGTCAGTTAGAAAGTAGTATGAAATGTGCTTCATTTTGATGGGCCCGATCTCGGCTAGACATTTGAGAGCATCCATATTTTGATTGTACTTGGGCGACTCGCGCACCATTTGTATGAGCCGGCTGACCAAGTCGAATAGCAGCTCATCATTATTCTGCAGCTCCTCCTTGTGCTCGGCAATCTGATAGGTTTGAAAGTATATAAATATATAAGCATATCGATGTGCTAATTTCAACAGCTCACGTATTCGCGCAGACCGTGCAAGCGCTCCGAACTGTTCGGCTCGAGAAAGGCGCGTATGTAGTCCTCGAAGTTTTGTTTGCTGATCTCGGGCAAAGCCGGCTCAAACCTCTGTCGCAGCTCTTGCAAATGCTCGCACCCGTCATCGGCCTCATCGAAGAGCCCTTGTAATTGCAGTTCCGCCTTGTACTTTTCGATGTAGGCAATGATTATTTTAGTTGTCATAGTCTTCAGCTCCTGTGACTCCACATGCTTGAGACAGGCAATCAATAGCTTTGCCAGGTCCTGATTCTGGAAACTATCCTTTGGCAGCATCAATTGTAAAAATTTGAGCGCAGAGCGATGCAATCGGTCACATTTGCCTGTAGTAATATATAATATATAGTAATATATCAAGGGAACGGAGAAGAAAATGTTGGAAGAGTTCACTCACTGTGCAAGAGAAAGCGGCAGACAAAGAACCAAATGTCCCGTGCAAAATGAGCAGCATGCACATCTCTCAGTGTGGTGTCCGCATTGCGCACCGATTCCAAATTTTCAATTGCATCCGAAACGGCATCAGCAACGGTGCAGTACAGGAAGAAGGAATTTACCACGTGGCTGGGCAGCACAGCCTGATAGCAATCGCTTTTCAACATGCCCAGCAAGTCGATCAGCATCATCGGCTGCTCAAACATCAGCGTCGAAATGACCTGTATGCGCATATCTGTGGACCAGTTCTTACCCTTCTATAAGGTAAATTTGAAATTAATTAAAATCAATTTGACAAGGAAATCATATTGCAGTCTACCACAAGTTGCGACATTGATCTGAAGAGCGATTCGGCAGATATATTGAACCACTTCGGCTGGCGAATGCTCAAGGCTGTGCCACCAAATAGTCTTTCCAGTTCATCCTTGTCCAACAACAGACTGATCGTTCTGTACAGTGCCATTGCACTGACCTCCTCCATCATCGGCCGCATTTCAAAGAACTGCAGATTCCGCTTTAGATTCTTATGATGTTGACGAAACTCGTCGAATTGGGATTCGTTTGAATCGCTTAGGTCGACTGCCAAAAAGGCTTGCAGTATGATCATGGCGGCCTTGAAAAGATTGAGAGAGACAGAGAGATTGCATACAGGGTACTATATAAGAATGTCAGCATTACATTTGAATTCAGGTATTTCTTAAAGCGCTGTATCTCCTCGGGCGTTCCATAGATAAACATATAAGCTATTATGTTATTGACTTCTCCCTTTACAAAATCATCTTTGGTGTCGTAGGAAAGGAAATATGGAAATCTGCAATGGATGTCAACTTTACAGTTATGTCTATGCTAATCGCTGGGTTAGCTTACTTGGACGGGGACCACTTTTTCGACATCCATTTGTGGACCAGGCTGTCCGTGTAGGGCAAGAATACCTGACGCATGCTCCGATTATAACAAGGCACTTGGCACCGCAAATCACAGAAATCAACTGGGAAACATTTATAAATAAACAATGGCAATTAAATGTCATTCACTTATGCCTACATGCAGTCAATTTATGATGGGCACAATAGGGTAGTAGATCCTGCAGGGCAAAATCCTGATGATATGTGCTAAAGGCAAAGAACGAAATCAGCGCCTGAATCACCACCGCATGACTATTCTGCTCAAGATCCTCGCCGATGAACTGTGAGGTGAGGCAAGCGTATTACTATTATTGAACATATCCGTAGTCATATCACATCGCACCCACCGTCAGCTTCTTCCAGTCAATTTGTGCGTAAAGCTCCTTGGTGAATGCCAAATGGTCGGCATATCTATGCATTGCGTCGCTCTCCTCGGTCGATACACAAAAGCTCGCATTCAGCAACTGGGTGAGCGTTGTGATTGCGGCCAAACGCAACTCGATTGTTGGCATTGTTAAGAACTTGGTCGTCGAATAGCAAATAATATTGAAATTGGGCATTTGGAGGACGTGCGGGCAGCGCTGCGCAATCAGCCCGATAGAGCGCACAATCTTCACTGACAACGATGCAGGATATGCTTTCTTCAGGGCTATACGCATCAGTGATATTATCGCCGACAGCATATCGTCCACCTCGTGCTCATTGAAGCAGGAAAACAGAATAACAGCTAAAAGCGGGCTAGTTTAGGATATTTCGCACTTGGCTTCGTCTATTCGCAAATACTCACTGGGTATTTCGTCGATTATATCGCTTATGAACTGAATGTTGGCAAAGTGATGGAGGAAGATCTCCTTCAGTCTCTCGACTAGCCAAACGATGCACTCCTTCCATAAGGCTTTGCATTTGCACAGCATCTGGGCGTCGAAAATCGAGTTTCATTAGCCAATTTCAGTTTTCAGGTTTTTTATTACATTGAGTTACCTTAAGAACCAACAGCACATCCTGCGGCTTGGAGCGCAGCTTCAGATTCCTAGCTATGTGACGAAATGCTTCTTTATTATAGGAACTGTTTGCACATAGGTTGCCCAGTATATGCAGGCAGCTGGCAACCAGTGTCGACTGCTCTGAGCTCTCCACTGCGCTCTTGGTCGCACCTGAAAGCAATTTCAGTGAGTTTATTAATATATATTAGGGATTGCATTGAGAGTCGTAAGATTGATGATTTTTTGAGAGTTTGTCTAGCAGGAGTTACCCTGAGTGAAGCTCCCTTGCCTTGAGCTAGCATTAATTTACCACTTACATATTTGATTCAGCAGTACACCTATGAATTCGAGCAGCATTTCAATTGGCTGCCTTTCCATGTAGTGCAGCAATGTGTCATTGGAATGGAATACATCCAGAATGAGCATCTGTTGCTCTAGAATATCGCGCAAATCGCTAGAGTCTACGGAACTTAATTCCGACTGGAGTGCCTTGTACTGGAACTGAAGAAAATATGAGTCAATTAAAAGTCAAAGAAACTAAGCTTCAGTCTTCAGACCACCTCAATGTGACTGAGAAACAAGCCGATGCGCTTTATCAGTGGACAGTTGGTAAAATTCTCAGCATCGAAGACTTTATAGTGCAGCAATCGCTCGATGGTGCAGACCAGCTTGTGCAAACACTTGAGGTCCCTCAATAATGATGTGATTGAGTGCTCGCTGGATGTCGATATGTTAAGCATGCGCATGAGCAACTCATAGTTTTGCTGGGACAGACAGTTCTTGGCGTTCGATCTGATGGGCTTCTGTAAACCGTTCGATTGCAGCAGCACCGATTGAAATTGCTCGTCCAAGCAGATCAACTTTTTATTGTATTTGTACAACAACAGCTGCAAATTATCATTGCCGTCGGTAGTTGTGATGGTAGCTTGAACCTCAGCCAACTGTTGCAATTGCTGCCCATCGAGAAAGTTAATGATGCCAATGGCAAATGTGTCTGCCAGCAATTTGGGATCAATAGCCGCTATGTTGTGAATCATTTGTGTTGCACTGCTCTTCTCGGTGGCGTAGGCCCACTTGATAATGGGCTCCAGGCTGTTGGAGGACTTTTTCAGGCCACATTGCTCGGCATTTATGAATATGTAGCGTATGGTTTCCATGCACTCATTGCGCCGCAGCATCTCATTTGTTGTAATGCTCTGCAGCAGAGCGTTGCACGACGCTTGATTCAGTTTTTTGTATCTGATGAATGACCGCAGGATGAGTTGTTTCTCAATGATTTCATCGGCTGCGGGCCGTGTCTCTGCTATCAGGAATGTGGCAATTTTGGTCCACTGCTCGCTCAAAAAGTTCACTGGAATCGATTCCTCTTTCAGCAGCTCAAGCTCCTTCTGCAGTAGGCTCGTTAGGCAGAGGCGCACATTGCGCAAATTCTTGCCATTGCCATAGATGAGCAGGACATCGGCCGTGGTCGACAGCGCAAGCTGATAATTGGCTGCATTTATAATTCCACTGAACTGCATCAGTTCAGCAAAGATGGCAAACCTGAGAAGGATATCTTTAAATACATATTGCAATGATAGAGATGGGTTTACCATATGACATTAAATTTCGTTTCCTGCTTGTCAATCAGTTGGATGACTTCCTCCAACTTATCGACTCGTACACGTTTGCTGGGCGTCTCCTCCGACTCAGTGGCAGCTGCTTGCAGTTCCGTATGCCAGTTAACCTACAAATATTGATATATGCTTAGTTTACGTTCATATGGCCATAGTATTTGATATATCTCTTTACAATATAGACAACAATTGCCGCCATTTGAATGAACTTGTCCGAGAACAGATTCAGCGCAGATGATTGGCCTCGGCCAATGAAATGCTTTCTGATTTCCATATCAACAATTGTGCGCAATTTCAGCACAGTCTGCCGCCAAGTCTGGTCAATTGGCACACGAAAAGTGTCAAAGTCATGGCTATTCATTTTTGGATATAGCGCTCGCAGTGATAATGTAATACAATTAAAGAACACATTTTTGATATCGTCGCGAAAGATGTCGTCATTGTGAAAGTCACAAAGCTTAGGCACGATCTCCTGCATATAGACGCAGAGCTTATGATGATAGTTGACTGACAACTAGGGAATAGATTCGATTAGCTAGTTAATAGACAGTTAAGATTTAAACTTCAACTTACCTCCGTAACAATTATCTCATAGAGACGCACAATCTCCTGTTTCCTTTCAGCAGTATTTGCTGTCTTCGCGAAATTGCTGATCATGGGCAAGTAGTCAACGAGATCGGCGTGCAGCTGCACACGTTTCTGTGCTAGCTGCAACGTTTTCGTAATACACTTCAATATTTTGGAACGTAGTAGTTCGTCATTGTTTAAATTTAACTCAAACAGGTACGAGAGCACACCTGGGATGTATGAATGGATTGTGATATAGGAAACATTTGACGCTGATCTGCTGCAACTTACAACTATATTCGCTGACTTTCAAGTTTTCTATATAGGTGCTCGATAGAAAGATGCCTCTGTCCAGCAAATTGATGAAATGATTGCCGAAATGCCGTACGACAATGCGCTGCTTGATGCCCTCCTCGAAGGCATTGAATATTGTGGATTTGGATAGAAAGTGACTGCCAGATCTGCCCACTGCAGATGTAAGAAATAAACAGTAAAGATTACTAATGAGTTCCACTCTAGGCTAGTCGAACTTACTCTCTAAATTGTATTCGATGATCTTGTCTATGGCATTGCCGTATAAATAACATTTATCTGAGAGCGTTTTGAATGACTTCTCATTGGCCTCTTGCAAGTTGGCTGAATGCTGCAAATTTTTAAAGAAATATGTACATAAACACTGCAAGACACTTACAATTTGTAACATTCATACCTTAAAGATTGCCTCCTTGGTAGCGTTAAAGACGGCTTTCCAGCATAATTCTTGTTTTTTGCCAAGAACACCATTTAGGGCCTCCTTGGAGCTGGTTAGCTTCTGGTCCAATTGTTCAATAGCTTTGTTGCGCGTGGTTGGTTTGTCGCAGTGCATTTCGGTGATAATGCGCTGTATTTCATTTAAAAGTGGATTCATTTTGAACACTGCCTTTTACAGTCTTACTTTCTTATCGAATGACAGCTTTAAAGTTAAACTCATTTTTGTGCGAAACTTTCGGCTCGAACCCAAAGCGGGCAGTACAGTGTGACCGTAATCAAATAATACACTTTAAAAATATCGATTATTTGACCAATATAAAAATATAAATTTAATTTTTAACATTGAAATAGTTTTTTGCTTTTTTATTAGATAGAAACAAATAGTACGAAACGATCAAATGATCAACAACACATTAGAGTAACAAATAGACACTAAAACACTTCCAAAATCCTCTGCAAACTTATCTAACGTTAATTTCCAAAAATATATCGATAAGCAGTAGAAGRGGACGTAATAAATAAACGGAGTCTGCGCTAAATTAAAACAAATTTAAAAAATTAAATTTAGACGTAAATAATAGTTTATTGCTTTTATATAAAATAGAAACAAATGGAACGAAACGATCAACAATGACACAGTAGATTAACAAATAAATACCAAAACACAACCGTTTGCAGATTCAACTATCGTTCATCTCTATAAACATATCGATAGACAGTTGGAAAGTCCGCCACAAATAAACGGCGTTTGGGCAATATTGTTTTGACGAAATGCCGATTGAAGTTTTTAAATCTGTGCGCGAAGTAAGCAGCGAAGATGCGGTAAGTTAAATCAATAACTCAGGACAATAGCCTCGTAAACTGTCTAAACTATCAAATTGCAGGTACATGTGGCTGCAAATCTGTTAAAAGAGAATGCCGCCAAAAAGTGGAAGACCCAAGCGATCGGTGAGAAGTCGGCGCATGTTATTCTGGAGTTCGAAGAGCCGCAACAAATTACTGGCATAGATATTGGCAACGAGCATTCCGCCTTTATTGAGGTACTGGTTAGTAAGACCGGCTGCCAGCCAGATGATTTTAGGGAACTGCTGCTCTCCAGCTCGTTTATGACGCCCATCGAGAGCAAGAATTCCAGCAATACAAATCGCGTGCGCTGCTTCAGCAGCGATGCTTTGTGTCAGGCAGCGCTAACAGACAAATGGAAGCTAGTGAAGATTGTGTGCACACAACCATTTAACAAGCATGTCCAATATGGCCTGTCCTTTGTCAAGATGCATGTGGCGGGCAGTGCTAAGCCTAAATGCCTGGTGCCCGATAAGTTCAAGCTAACGGCACATCCTAATCCTAGCCCCAGTCCCGCAGTGGCTGCCTTGGGTCGTTTTAAGCTGCGCGAAGAGTCACCAGACTCGGAACCAGATGGCAAGGCTTCACTCTCGCTCTTTCAGCGCTGGAAGGCAACTAGAAATGAGGATACCAGTACTGCAGCAGCTATACGGGATGCCGGCTCACCAGCTGCACTGCGTCGCTTAAGCGATTCCCGCCCAGCGCCCATTAAAACGCCAACACAGGCCAACAGCCCGTCGAGCGCGACGCAGGCAGAAACTAAAGTCTTGGATCGAAATCGAGATTCGCTACTGTTTGGCGATGATGAGGACGAAGATAATCCGGCAGGGGCTGTGGCAGATGCGCGAAAGCAACGCTTGAGCAAACACATTGAGGCGGACAAGAACCGACGGCGCATGGAGCTGGAGAAGGAGCTGGAAAAGAAGAAGAACAAAGGCAAGCGTCTATCTACAGAAAAGCCAGCTGTCAAGCAGGATGAGCAGCCGGAGAAAAAGGTCGAGTCGAAGCCAACAGCAGCAGTACAGGCCCAAAAGCGACTCTCGTCCTCGCTGGAAGAGCAGAGCAAGCCAGCCAAGAAGCCGAAAATGAAAGAGCCGAAATATGTGCCATTTAATCAGCTGCTACGTGGCGTTGTGCTCGTCATCAGTGGCATTCAGGTGAGTAGAACTGCACGTAGTTGACCTATGCTTCCTTAAGACATGCAACCTTCTCCTATATAGAATCCTGATCGTGCAGACCTGCGCTCGAAGGCCATAGCACTGGGTGCCAAATACAAAGCAGATTGGGAACCAGGCTGTACCCATCTAATGTAAGAGTTTATCTCACAGACTCCTTAAAGACTCACAGTTGAACTATCAAGTTTATCCATTATAGCTGCGCCTTTAGAAACACGCCCAAGTACAATCAGGTCAAGGGCCACGGCAAAATTGTGACGCGTCGCTGGATTGAAAAATGTTATGAACTGAAAAAGTATTTGCCCTGGCGACGCTTTGCACTGGACAATGCGGAAATGGCGCAGCCCGAGAGCGATGAGGAGCTGTATGATGAATCATTGAAGCCCACGGTGGACGATGATGATCAGCATGACAAGGCAGCCAGTCCTGTTGCTCTGGCTGAAAGGCTTGACAATAATAACAGGAGCTACGAGGTGCATTCGTCTGGACCCGACACAGAGGACGAACTCGAACGAGTGGCTCAAGAAAGTAAGTTGTAAGATCTGTCAACTTTCAATTTAATATGCAATATAAATTAATTACAGAAAAGAAATTGAAGCAATCAGCTGAATCAAATGGCAACAAGTCGAGTTCCAAATCGAAATCTCTGGATGTTTACGAAGTTAGCACAGATGAGGAGGATTATCTGCAGGAAAAGCGAAAACAGTTGTAGCTATTAGTTAAGTCCAGTATTATGTATTTTTATTAAGCGTATAGATAAGTTTATATTATGTTTTTTTATATATTACGTCAGTAAAGTGATATATATTTAAACAATTTCAATATACGCGCTTTCTTAGTGTTGGAACGGACAAAATTTTTTCAGGACGTGCTCTGGTCATCCTAATGTAAATGTCCTAAGAGTTTTTGGTATTAAAAGGTATTTGGTATTTAGGGATGTTAATAGCAATGAAGAGAATAATATAAATTGTTGTTATTTATGTGATTTAAACAGTTATGTGTATTTTAATATTACGCTGTTATGTATATAAAGTAAATTTTGTCTGAAGCTAGTTAATTTTAAATGTTATCTCAGCCACATATTTGAAAATACGCGCGTATGTAGTGCTGTTAAATGCTGTTAGCACATGCGCGGACTGGCCCTTGAATCAAGCTTTGATCGTCTTTTTGGCATTCTAAGTAAAAGGGGAGTATTTGAAAAAGGTATAAATGGTTCTGTTTTAGTTCACAGTGAGTTTGCTTGTTGATAGCAATAACTTTTATGTTTTTTTTTTTTTTTATATATTAACGTTTTTTTTAGCTAACTTTATGACGATGAACGTTTACTCTAATGCACGAGAAAAAAGAAAAGTAACTTATGTTTCTCAAACTCTACGTTATAAAAATAAGTACATCAAAACACTTAATTATCATTTGAAAAAATTTAGTTTCCATACAAATGCACAGCAGATGTGGCAGCCTTGATTTCGATCGAAATCGAGAGATATGGCAGCGTTGTATTCATTTATGCAGATTTTTTCGTACCAGCTGGGTCAAAATGTACTAAAAAATACCCTATGCCATTTAACACTGGCTTGCAATTCACAATAGACTGCTGCATTGGCTGCCTGTAGACAAAAAAAAAAAAAAAAAAAAA